TCACTCACCCCCACACACTCTCACTCACTCAATCGGCAACCCTTTCACCCCATCGACTCGCATCTACCCCACACTCACTCCTCCAGTTAATAGTAGTGTAATATTTAGAGGTCATTTGCGGTTAATACGTGAGACTTTACTCGCTTGTGTTGATAACTGTCACATATCAAACAATTTGCTTTGCCGAATTATTTACTCAAAATATATCTAAAACTAACAAATATTAAATATTTTCCAATTAATTGCAAAATAATAAGTAATTTGAATTTGTAATGATAACATTTCAGAACAATACTGAATATGCACATACCTAAATTATCCATAATTTGACTGCTCGGTGCTCACCCCAGGTCATAAAATAATACAGGGTTCAAAAATTAATACAGCGTCAACAATAAAAAGGAGTCGAAATATATCGCGCGGTATGGATTGAATATTGCAATATATTGCAGCAGTGACAATAACTGGACATCACTGATATCATCCATAAATGTTCATGAGTTGACAATCTATATTTCCACACTATACAATCTATTTAAATTTATGTAGTTCGATGGGCCACATCATAGCCAACAATTTCAATATCACAGATGTTCACGAGTTAATATCAATATCTCCATACTATGCACGTTGTAATTTTGAGTAAATTTATGTCATCCGATCGGCCAATTTAAGCTAATTAGAATTGTCACATCATGGCCAACAATTTATATATACGTTGTTGGTCAAATATACAATAAACAAATGTAATGATCTAAAGGCACACTCTAACACTATTATCTGTTACAGTGTCATTTAGAAATGATCTGCGCTGTGGAGCAGGGTATGTAGCCCCGAACGGTGCTGATCCAGCTGAGTGCGACCCAAACGGAGAATTCCCATGTTGTTCTCCCAATAATTGGTGTGGTAACACTGCCGACCATTGTGAATGCAGCGATTGTGTAAATTATGCAACAAGTAAGAGAATTAATAATTTCTATATTGTTGCCTTGACATAGAAATATGATGACAATTAGTTATTTTTGATATGCATGCTCAGTTAATGTGATTGTTTCGTTTTGTTAAGTTGTTAGACACACGCTCACTCACTCACTCACTCACTCACTCACTCACTCACTCACTCACTCACTCACTCACTCACTCACTCACTCACTCACTCACTCACTCACTCACTCACTCACTCACTCACTCACTCACACAATTATTTACTCAAAATATATCTTAAACTAACAATATTAAATATTTTCCAATTCCTTGCAAAGTAATAAGTAATTTGAATTTGTAATGATAACATTTCAGAACAATACTGAATATGCACATACCTAAATTATCCATAATTTGACTGCTCGGTGCTCACCCCAGGTCATAAAATAATACTGGGTTCAAAAATCAATACAGCGTCAACAATAAAAAGGAGTCGAAATATATCGCGCGGTATGGATTGAATATTGCAATATATTGCAGCAGTGACAATAACTGGACATCACTGATATCATCGATCAATGTTCATGAGTTGACAATCTATATTTCCACACTATACAATCTGTATAAATTTATGTAGTTCGATGGGCCACATCATAGCCAACAATTTCAATATCACAGATGTTCACGAGTTAATATCAATATCTCCACACTATGCACGTTGTAATTTTGAGTAAATTTATGTCATTCGATTGTCCAATTTAAGCTAATTAGAATTGTCACATCATGGCCAACAATTTATATATACGTTGTTGGTCAAATTTACAATAAACAAATGTAATGATCTAAAGGCACACTCTAACACTATTATCTGTTACAGTGTCATTTAGAAGTGATCTGCGCTGTGGAGCAGGGTATATAGCCCCGAACGGTGCTGATCCAGCTGAGTGCGACCCAAACGGAGAATTCCCATGTTGTTCTCCCAATAATTGGTGTGGTAACACTGCCGACCATTGTGAATGCAGCGATTGTGTAAATTATGCAACAAGTAAGAGAATTAATAATTTCTATATTGTTGCCTTGACATAGAAATATGATGACAATTACAGTTATTTTTGATATGCATGCTCAGTTAATGTGATTGTTTCGTTTTGTTATGAAGTTGTTGGACACACGCTCGTCACTCATCACTCACTCACTCACTCACTCACTCACTCACTCACTCACTCACTCACTCACTCACTCACTCACTCACTCACTCACTCACCCCCACACACTCTCACTCACTCAATCGGCAACCCTTTCACCCCATCGACTCGCATCTACCCCACACTCACTCCTCCAGTTAATAGTAGTGTAATATTTAGAGGTCATTTGCGGTTAATACGTGAGACTTTACTCGCTTGTGTTGATAACTGTCACATATCAAACAATTTGCTTTGCCGAATTATTTACTCAAAATATATCTAAAACTAACAAATATTAAATATTTTCCAATTATTTGCAAAGTAATAAGTAATTTGAATTTGTAATGATAACATTTCAGAACAATACTGAATATGCACATACCTAAATTATCCATAATTTGACTGCTCGGTGCTCACCCCAGGTCATAAAATAATACAGGGTTCAAAAATTAATACAGCGTCAACAATAAAAAGGAGTCGAAATATATCGCGCGGTATGGATTGAATATTGCAATATATTGCAGCAGTGACAATAACTGGACATCACTGATATCATCGATCAATGTTCATGAGTTGACAATCTATATTTCCGCACTATACAATCTGTATAAATTTATGTAGTTCGATGGGCCACATCATAGCCAACAATTTCAATATCACAGATGTTCACGAGTTAATATCAATATCTCCATACTATGCACGTTGTAATTTTGAGTAAATTTATGTCATCCGATCGGCCAATTTAAGCTAATTAGAATTGTCACATCATGGCCAACAATTTATATATACGTTGTTGGTCAAATATACAATAAACAAATGTAATGATCTAAAGGCACACTCTAACACTATTATCTGTTACAGTGTCATTTAGAAATGATCTGCGCTGTGGAGCAGGGTACGTAGCCCCGAACGGTGCTGATCCAGCTGAGTGCGACCCAAACGGAGAATTCCCATGTTGTTCTCCCAATATTGGTGTGGTAACACTGCCGACCATTTGTGAATGCAGCGAATGTGTAAATTATGCAACAAGTAAGAGAATTTATATTTTCCCCTCGACATATAAATATTTTTGACAATTGTTGTTATTTTGAATCTGCATGCTCAGTTAAAGTGAGCGTTTCGTTTTGTAAAAGATGTTAAATTATTAATTGCTAATATTTTTCCAAATTCTTTGCAAGTAATAAGTAAATTTA